GTCAGCAAGCTCATTGCCTTTAATGCCACAGTGACCAGGAATCCATTGTAGGACCACTGTTTTGTTTTCCTACCTCAGCAGCTGATAGAGTTTTCTACATTCGTTTATCTCAGCTGTTTTGGGTGGTTCTCTGCTTCCAATAGAGTTTATTGCTGACTGTGAGTCCGAAAGTATCACCGCTTTGGTGAATTTCGTATCCAGGCAACATAATTGCCATAGTGCTATCCTAATAACCTCTATTTCTCCTTCAAAAGCAGATCTATTGTGTCCCGCTGCTGTGTAGAAAGAGAAGAGTTCAGAAAAGACAACTGCACCAACGTTTACTTGGTTTTCTATGTATGACCCATCAGTGAAGGCCTTTTATAGATTACAACAGACAATGAAGTTTTATAGATAAATAATGACGATTTATTTATCTATAATTTTTAACCTTTGTGGATTCTTAATCTTTATAAAGTGATAATTTAGTCACCTACAAGCTCAAAATAGCAGTGCGCAAAACGATTACAGCTTTCTTATAGCTATACAGTACGGTCTATACTCCAAAAGCAGCAAAAATGTGAGAAATAGGCTGGTAAAAAATTTTCCAAATCCAGTCAGATTCAATTTTCCCGTAATATTTAATTGATATATGGCTGTTTCAAAATAAATCAAGGACATCACGATGGTGTATATTTTTTTAAAAACGTCCTTAAAGTGGTTGAAGACAAGTGAAACTAACAAGACATGTTAGACTAGGTTGGTAAAGTCACTGATGTTTAAAAGTAAGAATACACTATTTTCTAGCCTTGGTAAACTTGAAAAAATAAAATAACAACCATAGCTCGAAAATAATTTTCCTTAGATTCACTCTGACTGTGACACTATTATATAACTACTTTGGAGGCCAAAAGATAAACAAGAAATCGAAAGCCATCGTTAATCGAATTAATTACGAATATAAAAGAGTCGACTTAGAGAAAAATCCCAGGAACGCCCTGAAAGTGCATATTATGTCCAAACTCGTAGGCAGAACCTTATGTTCAATCCCATCGCTCTAACATAATCGCAACTAAACGACTTGAATCATTCAGCAAAGCGTTAATAATTCCATAGCGGTTACCTTACAATTAAAAGATAGTGATTATTTTTTTGTTATTTGGCTGTGGCTTTGTAATTATACAAAAGCATACATATTTACGTACTTAAACGATATATTTTTGTAAAATTGCTGTTATAATTAATGAAAAATCTTCTAATATATTAAAGCAAGGTTTCGGGTTGCCTACGCTGCTGAGATAAATAGACGAAACAAACGACAATTTATACCTTTTTTATCTCAGTAATTAAAATACTTAAGTAAACAGCCAATTTCAAAACTATTTTACAATAAAAATTGCGAATAATTATGCGGTTTAATTGAAATTTAACCATGTTTACTAATAATTTCTTATAATAGCCGTTTATGAGCAACCAACTTCAAACTCTGCCACATGCGCGGTTTATCTGTAATCCACTCAAAGGCATGGGTGTCACATTAACGGAACTTAATTTGAGTGAATTAGAAAGTCAGATTCGCAGAGATTCTGAATCATATTTATCGGACGTATGTCGTTCTTTTTTAATTTCAAGTTCATTAGTTTCAAGCCCAGTATGGGAACTATATTGCATTGGAAGCCACATATCTGTCCGCTCCATCTGAATATGTTCCGAAACTGGAGAGTCTTTTGAGATTTTTTTCGCAGGTTCGTTTTAATTTATGCATTTATGTATTTAGATTATTCATTTATACCCTACGTATGCCAGAACATTCAGTGAAAATGTTAGAACTGCTTTACTCTCCCGTTTCTTTGGAATGGATGTTCATATGCGAATGGTAACTCCATTTTCTTATGTTCTAGCTCTTAGGCTTATTTAAAAGCTTTCATGTGCCTAAGAACGAGAGATCTCATCAACCTACAGGAGTCCGTTGAGGTTGCTTTTCGTCTTCACAGATGTCACGATAAATGGGTTCGCAAAACATTGCGTGGTTTCGTTATTGCTGATATGAAAAGAACCAATTTAAAGAATAATAATGCTAAAGCTAACGCGGTGATCAGGACTCTTCTGGCCAACGCGGTGAAAGACAACGATACAGCTGTTGCTAAGGAAGCTGTAATTCTTCTAGTGGAACTTTACCGACGAAATGTCTGGAGAAATGAAAAATGTGTCAACATGATTTCAAGCGCTTGCTTAGCTAAATCGAATAAAGTTTATTCAAAGGCAGTTCGATTTTTTCTCGGTCATGATGAGATGTCTATTCAGGATGATAGTGACAGTGATTTTGACGAGAATGTTGGCGTCAATACTCGAATCAAACAGTTGAGATTGGCTCATCGTGTTGGCGCTAAAACAAACAAACGTAAGAAGCGTATGGATCGCAATGTTGACAATTTGATGCGTCAAAGCAAACGCAAAGCGAAGGAACGCTTACCACAGGGTATTAATGTCTATGCCATCACACTGATTAACGATCCCCAGACTTTTGCCGAAAAGCTGTTCCACAAATTAGAGAAATGTAACGATAGATTGGAAATGAGAATGCTACTGATTGAATTGATTAGTCATCTCATTGGGGTTCATCAATTGCTACTTATGAACTTCTATCCGTCACTTCAACGTTTCCTCCGTCCCCAACAAAGAGGTGTATTTTCTTATCCTGTTTACTAACCTTCGCAGTTTAATCATCTTTTCTGTACTGCTATTACTCTCTTATTTTGTAGAAATTACTCGTCTCCTTTTGTTTGCCGCTCAGGCCAGTCATGATCAAGTACCCCCGGATGTAAGTATTTGTTACCTAGTTTTCTATGTCGATATTAGTTGCTATTGTAGCTAGCTTTATTCAAACTGGCAAAAATACCTAACCTATACTTTTGTTAATTCTTTATTCAATTATTTTAACTCTTGCTTTGCAATCTGTATTCTTGTCTGTATTTCAAATAGAAGGGTTTTGTTTCTGTTTGTGCATCAGTTGGTTACTGGCTTTTAAAATAACGTTTACTTTGTCAGAGGAATGATACAAAAATTGGTTCCGACTTTTATCCAACTCCTTCATCTCTGAATGTATAAACTGTTTGAAATATCGTTATTTCTCACTGATTATCATTTATGTGTATAGATTTATTGAAGATAAAAAGAGCCACTTGTAATTTTTTCCATTAAACATGCTTGATCATGCACTTTTCTATAATTTGTCTACCGGTCAGTTCTTAACATGTACTTTGAGCTTTTATCGATAGTTTGGTTAGACCAAAAAATGATTTCTAACGAGATCGGATTTGTGCTAGTGAAATTTGGGTCTCTAGGAAATTATTGATTAATTGCAAGCTAATCACTAGACTTCTCGAAACTCAGATTAATTCGTAGCAGTAGGTAATTATGGAAGTAGTTTTGAATCCGTTTATATGCCAAAATACACCTTTTACGACCTCTTGTTAACCAGAATTGATCAGAGCGATTTGATCATCTGAGCCATCAGCTATGTATGGAAGGNATCATAAAGCCTGCCATTTGAAATAAATTATTCCTGGAAGAAGAGTTCAAGGAGCTACTTCTATGAGCAATTGACAAAGCGGTCCTACTTCAAGACATTNGGGGGGGGGGGGGGGGGGGGGGGTTGATTAATCTATTTTTCTACTGTTCAGTTTATGAATAAGGTAGTCACTCATGAAGCCTACAGTCCATCGCTTCTACGTTATGGCCTATAATTGAAGAGTATTTGCGGGAAATCAAGAAAATTCGGCTTAATTCGTCCTGCTTCCACCTTTTCCCCATTTGTTTCTAGGTGATGGTTCCCCTAGTACGCACTATTACGGACAACTTTGTGACTGATCGTGCCTCGGCCGAGGCAATCACGGTTGGTCTTAACACGATCCGAGAGATCTGTGCTCGATGTCCTTACGCTGTGGATGAAGATCTACTTTCCGACTTAATCAGTTACAAGTCTTATCGCAATAAAAATGTTGTGGCCGCTGCTCGATCTCTTATCAGACTCTATCGACAGGTGAGTGAGTATTCACGCACACAAACACACACACACTCAGAAATTTAGTTCCTTCATTCCATCTCCATAACGGTAATTCTCTTATCAGCTTTCCAGTTCAACAAATCTAACTCAGCAATGACGTTACATGTAGCTTTTGTAATTTATCATTCATTTTGAATGTAACGAGATCTGTATCTTCATAGCCACTTGTCCTTTAGTTATTACACGAAATTCCCAAAAAATGAGTGGAAAGGGGGATCAATTCTTTTACATCTGTCCCAAAAATTACTAAAACGATTGCCATCCTGAAGCATCAAAGTAGATACATTTAATTGGCTATGGAGTAAATTAATCTCCGGACAGGTAGTCTTATTAAATGGAAGTTTTTGGTTAAGGAGGCTATGCATACTAGAAAAAAATCACAAAGCATGCAACAAACTGGAGTGTAATTCGAGTTTAGCTTGGTTATTAATATTTCAATTACCACTGTGATAGATAGCGTTTAATATAAATCAATGAATGAATATGCACTACACGAAAACTGTGTGAAATTGGTGAACGAATTTTGAACTAATCCACTCGTAATTACAAGAAATAGTGTTCTATAATTATTTGTAAACGAGTTTAACAAGAATTTACCATGATGATAACCAGGTTTTCCACTTACTCTATCCTTAGGATCTCAATGCTAGAAGAAAATAAGATGGTCATTATTTGAGTTTAATTAAAAAATTTCGGCTAAATTACATTGAACATCATCTTTTCGTCTTTCAGATCAACCCAGCCCTGCTACCCAAGCGCGAAATTGGTCGACCCACGGTGGCCATTAAGGAAGCCCTGGGCTTGGAGGGAATCGACGTTACCGATGTGGATGCTCTTGCCGCTGCTGACATGCCTGCACGCCAGTTTGGCAAACGTAATGTCGCCACTGGGATTGCGGGAGCGGAGGTCTTGGTTGAAAAGAATGTCAGTGGTAAGAAGAGAAAGTTGGATGACCACCAACATGAAGACGGTGATTGTGATTGCCATCGTGAACATAATGAAGAAGATGAGGATGAGGAGGTGAAACAATCGAAAAAGAGAAGGAAGCTGGTGAGTGGTACGGAAGACAATGAGGTGAAGCATAAGAGTATCGAAGGGAAAAGTACGTCTTCTGCAAAGAACAAGCCGGCCAAAAAGTTAACACCTGAAGAAATTCTCGCTACACGTATCCTTACTGATGAGGACTTTGAGGCCATCCGTAAGAGGCAGGCTGAAAAGAAGGTCTGCTTGGTTGTCGAAATACCCTTCTTACTCAAATGGGGCAAGTAATATCTTTATTTCTATATTTCAGACCCTATTTGCCGCTGCTGGTGGTCGTAATAAGAAACGTGGAACCCAGCTTGTTATTGATGAAGAGGACCTTGCAGGAACCAATATTGACGGTGCTGAAAATAGTGATTCTGATGTGGATCCAGACGAGGCCAGCGGTCTAGTTTCAATGAGGAATATAACCAAACTGGTGAAGCGTGCACACTCCACCAAAGCTGATCGTATGGAATCTGTTGAGGAGGGTCGAGAAGGAAGAAAGAAATATGGTTTCCAGGTTTGTTCATTTTTTTCCAAAGTTGTTTAACTTATGTTCCCATGCATAGGCTTTGGTCGATTTAATACGCAAGATATCAGGCTAGATTTATGCCATTTTTCCCTTATTGATGTTTCATTACCCAAAATTATTTTTTATCTTTGTCAACGTTATCCTTTGCTGGCAAGTGCGTGCATTCCTGTTTATTATCATTTTCTCCATAGCATGTTCAAGCTTGTTTCAGTCGCATGTTATGTCTAGGGTTACTTTCCGTATTTTTTATTTGTTATGCTATGGAATTTAGGCATTTATTACTCTATTCCTTCTCAACCAAATTGTTCCTCTGGAGAGATGGCGTAAATAAGGTTCGCCATAGCCTTTGCTTAAAATTGGCAAACGAACAGGGTGTTTCAAGCATGTGCGTAAAATCAATTCCATCCATTTTGTCTATTAGCTATTTAAATATGCTAACCTTTCGAATGTCTCTACGTTTTTTTTGTTGTTGAAATTTTGGGCTCTTGTTTTCTTGTACTTATTACTGATTTTACATTATATCCAATTTTGGTGGTTAAGACCATCTAGTGTTGGCGTTTAATTCTCCCAAACTGTCAGTTTTCAGTTTTGTGCATTAGGAAGTGATAAGTGAATGACGTTCTGCATAATGGAATATGAACAACGTTGCTGCTTATAAATGACAATGCAAATTTGCTTGGACGAGTAGGAATTATGAATTGTTCCATTATTTACTAATTTCTTAAATCTATACGTTTTCTTATTGAGGTTATGTTTCAAATGGGTTGAATTTTTTCTTATGCCTTCAGCAGTCAGTCAGCCGTACAAAATATCCCCTCTCCCCAACCAATGGTTTATTGATTCCACACTGGTATGGCTTATAGTTTATTGTCAATGTCTTTCATCCACAAAACACTTGAAATGGAAAATGAAGCATATATTTTAAGGAAGTGCAAATAAAGGGCAAGCATTTGGGTCTTTCGATCTCTAATCAGAAGACATGTGCTGTGAGTGGAATAAGTACTTTGACGATCAAGTGGAAATGGTTTATATTTTGTGTACTTATTGTAATAGCTACTTGAAGTGAGACTATTACGTTATATTTTCTTGCTAAATCCTTTAAAGAACGTTTTAGCAACGCTTGACCTGGGAAGATGCAAACCAGTATGGTTTCACTTACTGGCTATTGTTGAACAGAATAAACCATTGGAAGTTTATCGATAAGCATTGCTCTCATTATGTCTAAATGGACAGACAACCACATTGGCAATGGTTTTAAACGTTATGCAAAGCGTAATTTTCCCAATACAGTTAACATGTTTGCTAAAGACGCTTGATTTGAGTCAATGGATGTATATAGATAATTTCTTATGGGTGGCTTGCGTTCTCTCACCCTTCATGTCGATTGAAATTGATCGCGTAACCTGCCACAGGCGCGCAAACAGTTATTCTAGGTTCTCAAAACCTTTTACAAATTATTTAAATTCCTTTCTTATAGGTAAATCGAATGAACCCACATGCAAGTACAACGAATAGGGAAAAGAGGAAGAATAAGGCCTTCCAGATGATCAAACACAAGGCACGCAGGAAGGTCAAACGTAGTTTTCGTGAGAAGCAAGTTGCTTTGCGGGATCATTTGAAGAAATTCAGCAAGAACTTCCGCCATTAATGTACAGTGATTTAGAATTGTCATCACTTCTCTCCCTCCTGTACATAGACTATTTGTGACATTTGAGTCGAGTTGAATAAACTGCGCTATTGGTTTTTGCATTTTGAAAATTTTTAGCTTACACTAGCTTTTCATTAATTGGGCTCCATATTATTTACTGCAGTTCTTAAAATTTCGGTTAGGTTTGACGAAATGGAAGAGTATGCAATCTACTCCTTCAATCCCCTTCGACATCCAATAAACTCTTCCTGTTACTAATAGGTTTAAACAGTTGTTGAAGGACTGAAATCGTTAAACGCTGGGTGGGTTGCGAAGCAAGATCAATTCTTTTCATTGCCAACTGAAATGTCCATAGTAATAAGCTGCTTATAGAACACGTTTATCCCCTGTAGATATGAATGGGAGTTGATATTTACGCTTTTCAATGCATAAGTGGGTGGAAATCTGCAAGAGCAGGATATTGATAACGGAATAAGAAATATTACTGATTGCAAAGAAGGAAGGGAGCTACCATCTTTTCCGCAACATGGCAACTTCAAACCTGGTCCCGTCTTGGCTGGTTTGGTCTGTCTTCCACTTTGTATTCCCCCACTAGTCATACTTAAAATTCTTCAGTAGTATCACGATCACAATGTAGAAACAGTTTAAAAAATTCGAGAGATCGTCTCAAAGGCTGTGACTAACGACACTTCAGGTGAGTTTAAATGAATTGAGGAAGTGGGTCGGTTGATCAACAATGTAGCTCGAAATTATGCAAGCTTTTGAAATTTATTTAAATTTCTGCAGACCTACGTTCATGCAATGTGCGCACTTACAAATATGCTAATTTTATGAATAATTAACAATAAATCGTAATTCAATTTTCTCCACCAAAATGTTCGCCAATACTTTCCATCGAAAGCTTTCGATTCATAATTTCTATGGTAGCGTCACATCGAATTCTGTAAAAATTTTCTGAGGCCAACGGCGTTACGAATTGGATGATGATCAAGTCGGATCACTGGACTTTCGGGGTTCCACGTAGGGAGGGGTCACATGCGTCCCGCTTGAACTCGTTGCTTCTGACAATTGGCGTTCTTTGCTGGCGCTTCAAGATTTGGACACCGAGGCAAATTTCGACACGATAAATTTCCCCTTCGCATAGTCAATAAGTTGTTCGTTCCTACTCAAAACTACGGGATTGACTTTACAATGATTTGACTGACCAAGACATTTTGGGACTTCATAATTGTGAATGATTCATGGGTTTTTGACGTATCATGTTTTTCTTGTGAACAGAGGCAGGATTTCAAGTTTGCCTGGCTTAGAGACAAGTCCTACTAGTATGACTTTGGGCATGAAAGAACATAAGAATCGTCACTTTGGCACTCATTTATATCTGTGAACCACTCTTCTGTTTCCCCTCTCGACTTTCTGTGACTTTGATGTTCCTCCCCTCTGTGAAGCTCGTAGTCAATTAAAGGGCAAATGATAACTATCATAAAGCCTGCCATTTAATTCAAACAGGTGACTTTTTAATCCTAAATGCAAAGACGAGAAAATTGAGCAAAAAAGCACAAATTTTAAGCAGGATCCAAAGTGCTACTAATTAACTCTATTTTAAATCGGTAATTTTTGCAATGTTCTTTATTATAATTCTAATAATGGGCGCTTAGAAAATTGGTTTGCAATTTGTAACTTTAAGTTAACCAATTCCCAGGCTATCTTGTCGATAATTAATTGCTTAATGATGTTGTTCTTGAAATGGTACAAACAAAAAGGGATATAAAATAGTTGAAGAAAAAAGTAATATCCATAATTAATTATTAAAATTTATTTTTCTAAGAAGGAAATTCCAGTCCTGGTAAATGTCACCACCAGATTAATACACAGGCATTCCACAATCGAAATTAATGGAACAATACCAAATTCCAAACTCCCAATCAATGCTTTTACACTAAAGCACTATTACTAATGTAATTACCTAAAGTGACACTGAAATATTTTCAAGGGCAAGGATGAAGAGAGGAATAAGAGCTCATTTTTATGAACAACAAGTTGATTATGGTCTCTTTTTCGTAATAGGCGAAAATGATTGGCTCCATAGTTAACTAATAATTGCAGCCACGATTGGAAATCCAATAATCGATGGGTCATGGCAGTGAATGTAAGCGAATCATGTTCCTTAAATTCCTACAGGTGTTTCGATTTTCAATTTCCCCACCTTTATTGTCATCTATCTCTACGCTAACAGTTAATTAGAGCCTGTTTCATATGTTTAATATTCGGGGTGTGCGATAGATTTACCTCCACGTGGTGCACCCTGGGCAACGTATATTCATACGGTAAAAAAGTCAATTGACTGGCAGTTGACTTCTCACTTCAAACTACCATCACCTCACTCTATGTCATATTCGACTACTTCCACAGTACTCACCTCACCTTTTTCTATCTTCGTCTTTGAAACACTCTTCTGTTCCCCTCCCCTCTCGAATTTTTTCAATTTGATGTTCCTCTCTGGGAAGCCTGAAGTCAACTAATGGGCTAATGATAACCATCAAGACGCCTGCCATTTGATATAAATAAATGTTTAATATT